CATGCAAGCTTTGCTGAGCGCCCCAAACCGAATTGCGCCATTGCTACTCATCGCTACCACTTTAGTTATCTATTTACATGTTCTATTATTCTAGATACTTATGAGTAGGCCTATTCAGGCAAGTATTCAATCGGGTGTTGCTCCAGTACGGGGTCCCGCACCTTCTAATGCAGGCACTTTGGCACCTTACGTATGTGGATTCAATCCTTTCACAAGGTGAGTTGATTCACTTGGGACGTCAAGTACCAAATAACTTCCCCTAGCTAGTTTTGCGGGACTTACCTGTATTCTTTTTCAGGAAATGCATGGACCCAGAACATTACTGTCCTGGACGATGTATGAACTTCCGATATACCTACAATACCCTGTATGATTGTAGATGTCTTGTTGTTAATGAATAAATTTGTTCTCTTGTATTGCGTGGGATTCGATTTTGTATCAGCTAATTTTTTTTCTGGACCTATTGATCTTTACTGAACTAACAGGAGAAATAGGATAAATATGTGCTGCGGAGTTGGCGATAAGGGTGTAGGATGATGGGATTGCATGCGTAGGGAAAGAAGACCGCGTCCGGGAAAGGCGCAGCCAATATTTTGTAACTTGAGAGCTTTGCCGTACCTGGTAGTGCATCACGCCCTGCTCCATGATTCTCGCGCTGTAAGATTGCAATACTCCTTGCTCTTGGTCGGCGTACTTTAAAAGTTCGAGAGTTGATCGCAGACAGGCGTTGCGTCAGAGGACTAGCATAGAAAGCTATCTAAAGGAGTCTCGTCCAGAAGAATCCAACAATTGACGAAGTTCACGTCATCTGTCTAGCATTATTCCCTTCTCCTGCATCTGCCAATGATTTGAAAATCATGCAGGGTGTCAATGCCTTTTTACAAATAACATGATTTGCTGAAGCTCACAGTGAGCACAAATCAGAGCTTCTGCTCCTTGGAAAGCTCTGTTGCAAAGGAATGCAAGGTTTGATTGACATGAGCGGAAATTGATCCTGCATTTGATGTTACAATCGAGGTTTTGGTAGCGATGCCGTTCGTTCGTCACTACCCTACTATAATCTCTCGAACAGATAATTACAATGGCTTTCTCAGCTACTTTGTTATGAACTGACAGTAAACTTCATTGTCGTAGGAGTGCGTTATTTGTGGGCGAGAGCCATTAAATTGATATCTTACCCTTTCGAACTCTCCTTATCAGAAATCATCGGCTGTTGCCACTATATGGCACCTATCAATAGGGGACCACGTACGTAAGGGGATTTGGAATTGGATTTGCTTGCTGGAGGCGAGGGCTTTGCATTGGGTTCTTAAAATGCTGTCTTCAATTTTGAAACTGCTCCGTTTTCCCTGTCTTGGCTGCACTCTATACTCCCCTTCCCCACCCCCAACAGCAGATTTTTTTGGGAAAAAAGTGAAGGGATTTGTGAAAAAGGAAAACGGTAGGAGTTTGCGGAAATTCAGTGGTATGGTAGGTGGGATGAGTGATGAAGAGGAGGGGCCATATAGAGAAGTTTCGAGGAGATTAGTTTTTTACAAAAGTTTTCCCTAGCGGCTGTTCCCTTGCTGATACCACCCGACGTATGAAGCCGGTGACTCTCCATCCATCAATAATATTCTCATCCCAGTTCCTCATCTCTTTTTAGAACCAACACCTGCCGGAAGGAATGCGCGCTTTCGACTCTAAAACAATGTTAGTTATGAAAACGAATTAAATAAGAAATAAATCAAAAGAACAGTCTCCAGCTTAGTATCAATTGGACTTGTGTTCAAGCATTCTATGCAAAAAATGGATCGCCTCTGAAAGAACTTGACCGGCTGCGACTCAAAGAAGTTGGACACCCAGAGTTGGACCTTTTTCGCGGTTTGTGAATTTTCTCTCGGCCAGGGAGTTCTGCATCGACCGGAACAGATGGTAATCGATGGTGCCAGGTCTGATCTGTGTGGCGGATGAGGCAGGACTTTCCAGCCCAATTCCTCAATTTTTTTCTAGAGTGATTTTCGCCACATGTGGATGAGCGTTGTCGTGGATAAATTTTGTCGACGTCGTTTCGACACTTTGAAGACGCAGTGCTGGATCCATGCGGTTCAATTGGTGTTTGCAGATGTCCGCCCGTAACCGTCCCTGACGCCGATCCGCGAACTTCCAAAAAGTAGCATCAACACCTTTGCTATCAGCCAAACACGGAGCATCACCCTTGGTTGCCGGCTACTATATCAGGTTTCGGAGTCCGTTTTGAGGTCACTGGAGTCTAACCACTGTCCTTTTCTCGTTGCGTTATCGAAGCAGACCCTTTTCTCATTTGATGTAATAATAGAGTCGAAAAACCGCTGTTCTTGGAGCGACGAAGAAGAATTCCGGCCATTGCCACTCGTGTTGCCTTGTTTGCGTCGCTCAGCTGGTGCGGCACCCGCTCTTCCCAACTTTTTTTCCCAAAAAAAGCAAAGTAGACATGGACAAAAATATATCAAAAAGAAGCACAATAAAAATCTCTTTCTAACAGACAAAACTGTCTCCAAAATCTTCTATAGTAGGAGAGAAAAAAAATGGAACAAGTTC